ATTGTGGGACTAGCCAGGTAGGGTTTTTGTCTAAGATAGCTAGTGACAATGTTGTGTTTTACTACTTCGCTTTTCAGTGCATGTCCTATTTACTAGCTATCGTTTTTGCTTTGTATCTTTCTTCTGCATTTCATGGTGTTCCTATTTTTCTTATGATTGTTGTGGTGATACTAATATTGTCTCCTTTTGTCCTTTTGTCTTTTTGTTTTCTTGAGCCGAGGGTCTTTCGGAAACAGCCTCTCTACTCCTTTGGGGTAGGGGTAAGGTCTGCGTACACACTACCCTCCCCAGACCCCATTAGTGGATTTTACTGGGTTGTTGTTGTTGTTGTTGTTGTTGTTGTTGTTGTTATCGTTGTGTGTATCCTGAGTCATATCATCAATGCTACAATATAAACCTTTGGCGAGTCTATTTTGGTCAGCCTTTCAAAGGTCAGTCCAAGGGACAAATTTGAGGATCAGCAGTGCCACTATTTCCTCTGATTATCAACACGGAAAGTACCAAACCAGTCAAGAAATTGTGAGACAGCAAAATTCTCCATCATATGTTATTTATTTTTGACAAACTCTAGCCTGTGACACTCAGTTGCAGTCCAGAAGACAATTTACGCCTCAGTTAAGGCAAAAGGAAACACAAAATCCATTACACCTATGGATTATTCTCAGCGCTGCAGTCTTTCAGGTGTTTAGCAACAGAGCAAAACAAGGAGGACCATGCTATGCAACTTGGCTTTTGATTGATTATAACAATTACCAATATCATTTGGAGTTCTTATGTTTGCCGAAACTGGAATTGAACCACGGAGAATAATATTGTGGTGTAATGCATTTAGGTTAGATATATTTCACTCGATACAATGGCTGGAAAAACACACAAAAGGGGGAAAGGAAAATAATATGACAAGAACAAGAAGAAAAATCAGAACATGTCAGATGGGGTTAACTTCACAAGTAATGCTAACATTCTCCCAACTTTAAGGATCATGAACAAAACTATGTCTTGTTGAGGTTTTTGTTTTTAAGATGAAATAGTCTTAAAATGAGGGTGAATGGGAAATGGAGGGAAAAATGAAATTTTTGAGTAAAATTTTAAGTTTCCCCCTCTTGACAATGAGACATTGTCCCATATTGGAAGAGGAACAGATTTTTGGTGGGTATATATATAATTGCTCTTCTTGTAGTTCTTAAAGAGTTAAGAAGAAAGCAAGTCTCGCGCCGTCGTCGTCGTCGCTCGCTCGGCTTCGGCTACGGCTACGGCTACGGCTACGGCTACGGCTACGGATTCGGATTCGGCTACGGATTCGGATTTGGTCAAATGATCGATTGATTGATTAATTTTTTGGACCAAATCTTGCTCCACCATGGAGGGTGGACGATTGTTCGTCTTCAACACTGGCTGCTATATATATGTGCAACAGCTGTTGAAGAAAGACACACAACACACAATACACAAGACTGAAATCGCTCAACAGATTTGGCTATACATTGCACTCCTTCCTCTCAGCATTTCCATACGATTTTCTGAGTTTCTACTCCTTCGTTCTGCATTGTTTTTAACTTCAAACAAAGCAACTGTAAGTGTTATTTGCTACCGAACTTTGTGTTCGCTAAAACACTGGGGTTTGAAGTACCGCTGCACCAGTGTGTGATTTGTTCTATCTTGGGAGGAAATAATCCATTACCTTGGGTACTAGGAGGGGATTAAATTCCTTAAG